ATGTTCATTTATCTTTCAGAGAGAGAGAGACAAAGCACGAGCAGGGGAGGGGCAGAGAGGGAGACACAGAGTCTGAAACAGTCTCCAGGCTCTGAGCCGTCAGCACAGAGCCTGACGTGGGGCTCGAAGTCACAGACTGTGAGGTCGTGACCTGAGACGAAGCTGGACGCTCCACCGACTGACCCACCCAGGTGCCCTTGCTTTCTTAGATATTGCACTAGAATACGATTTGTCTTGACCACTGAGTTTTTTTGAAATCCCCTTTAATTTTGCACTCAAGGCCTCCCAAACCCTCACCGTAGTCCTGGCCCTAGGCTGGTTCACTGTGCCAGTCGCTATCAATACCTCCTTAGCTGATTCATTGACGGAGGTAAAGAAAATAGACTGGCTCAAGCCTCTCCTGACCCCTCTGCCTGGTCCCCTTTCTCTGCCCTCTGGCACAATTTCCTCATCCTCAACGGCCTGCTTATATGTGCCCTTCATTAAGAAGCTTCCTCTCGCCTCTGGAGAATCTTCTTCCCTCCTGCACCCCCGCAGCACGAGTACTCACCTGTGCTTTAACCCTGTTGTCCCCCAGTGCACGTTTTCCCCAGATCCCCATTTGTTTTCCTCACCAGATGGGGAGCTCTTCAGGGTTGGGCACCGTGCTTTGTGTATTTATGTCTTGCGTGGTTTCCTTAGTGTGTGGTTGGTGGGCGCCCACTGAACGGTTAACATAGGATTACTAGGTGTTCAAATGGTTTTGCTAAGTATTAACACAGCGGGCGTGTGAAAAAAGAAACTGGCAACGTGTGAGTCCTTTCCTCTGTTCCTGTGACCGTGGGACCCTTCCAGTAGGCTAGCGATTGGCGGCTTGTGGAGCGGGCCAGGGTAGGAATGCAGGAATCTGGAAAATCGGGACTGTCATAACAGGAAGTCTTGTGGCTGGGTAGGGAGGGGACGGGGTGGGGGGTAGGGGAGGCATTCTGGAAAGCACACACCATGTACAGCTCATTCAACAAATACTTGCTGACCGACTGATGGGGTTGGTTGACCCAGAGATAAGTGGGTTGTGCTGTCGAACCACAGGTGTAAGTGCATTGGGAGGGGACAGTCAGGAAAGGCAGGGGACCCTCGGTAAGGGGGCATGGGAACGAGAAGGCACCGAACGCGCCCTAGGAGAGGGAAGATATTGACAGAAAGAAGGGAAGTAATGATTATGTGACATTTTTCCAAAATGTACTTCTTCAGAGTGATCTGTACATATGTTTTTTCCTTTAAACTCGGGTCAAAGAAATGAGGAAGTTAAATGCTGTGGAGAGGCTATTGTTAACTCCGGCCAAAATAACTGGATAATATTTTTAGTTTTACTGCTCTGGGATATTTAAAGGAAGATAAATAGGTTTTATAATGAGACCACAGTGCACACACTGTTTGCCTATTATAAGCTGGACTTCTGGAGAAGCCTTGAGCAATGATTTAGGAAGATCATAAAATGGGAAAGCAAAAAACAAAAACAAAAACACTGGTAAATCAGCATCCAAGAAATGATTCAGACCCGCCTAACGATGGTTTGGTTGTCTAGGACTGTCCAGGAAAGTACCCTAACGTGATGGCCTACGACAGCAGCCAGTCTACCTGGTGTGGTTCTGAGGGTCCAGCACTGGGGACAGGCCAGTTGGGGGCTGCAGGTCTAAGACGTGTGGTGTCCTCCATCTGGGGACATGTACCCTGAGTTTCTCTACGGGCTGTCTGTAGCGCAGCAGACCTCTGTGCTCCTTGGGGGCAGTGAGGTTCTTCCACCAGCGAAGATGGACGTGGGGTGGGTGAGACTCTCGCGGGAGGACCGGGCTCGGACGTTAGCTGTTAGACCCGGGAAAGGAGGGGGCCGAGCTGATGATTTGTGAAGGGGTCGGGGCCTGAGGAGACGCGTCACCAGGGCGCTTCGGTGCCCCCGCCTTGAGGTGATGCCATTGTCCGGGGAAGCCCTACCTGTGGGGGCCCTGGACCCACCTCAGGCAGTCCTGTGGCAGTTGGTTCTGTGGACCCTGCTAGGTGGGGTCGGAGCCTGGCAGGCTGTGGGGGCAAGCAGGGGAGGAGGGGTGCTGGTGAAACCCAGCGCTGTTCGTGGCCTCAGAGGAGTCTGCCACGTGCCCTGCGTGGCCTGTCCCGTGGCTGCCGTGTGCGTGGCCCTGTCAGGCAGAGTCCGGCTGGGGCGGGGCCTGGGGAGGAGGTAGCTCCCAGCTCCCAGCTCCCAGTTCCCGCCGTCTGCAGAGGCTGTGGACGGTACTGGAGGCGAACTGGACACAGAGCACCTCGGCTAGGGAGGTGCTCTTCCACGGAAGGCGTGGTGTAGAAGGCTCTGTGGGGATGCTCCCATCCCCTGCAATGAAGCTCATGCTTGTTGGGGTTGCAGGAGGAGGGCGGCTGCGCCCAGGCCTGCTGACTGTTGGGCGGGGCCCAGAAGGCTTTCCGCGCAGCCCCTGACCAGCATTGGGTGCTTGCCTGAGGGCCTGGCTGCCCCGTGAGGGACGGCACGTCCTGAATAACTAATAAACCAGGGGATAGTGTCGGGGAAACGGGGAATGAGGACATTCTCCTGCATCAACAGCCCCCTGTCGCCCTGGGAAGCACCTGTGAGGCCTGGTTCCTCTCTCTGCCCTGTCACTGCTGCTCTGGGGAGGAGGGTGGGTGCTGTAAAGGGTGCACGATTAGAAGGGCAGACCCACTTCTGATGTTCATGGGGCCCAGGACAGGGGGGTGGCAGGGTCCCTTGGCCCACTGTCCCCCTGCCCTTCATCTGCCCACCTTGGGTCTGTGTAGTCACGAAGGGCCTGGCAAGTGGCCCGCACACACCCGGCCCTCGAACCAAACTCCTGACTCACACCCCACTAAAAACAGACCCTCTGGCCTTGGGGTTCTTCTAGCCTAAGACGCACCCAGTGAGGAGGGCTGTTCAGGCCCTGGAAAGCAGGGCTGGAGCCTCTGGGCTGGGATTTCTGGGGTTACAAGTACTCAGGGTCTGGTTCTGAAGTGAGGGCATGGGCCCCCCGGAAGCAGGTCCCCTTGGCCCTGCGGACCCTGTACTGGGTTGCTAGGTCCGCTGGAACCAAGTAGTGCTCACTGGGTGGCTTGAACGACAGGGATGCGTCCTCTGACAGTTGTGGGGGCAAGGAGCACGAGATCGAGCCTCCTGTCTGGCTCTGAGTCTGCCAGGCACGGCTTTGGAAGCCTGGAGGCTGACCTGGAGGCTGAATGGTTCAGAGAACGTGGTTTTAGGAGGCCACTGTAGTTTCCCAGGTGAGCCCAGCTCATGCCTGGGGGGCGGGGGGAGGTCCCGCTAGGAGACACTTCTGAGGTGCATCCTGCGCGGGTCATCCCCAGGTTCTGGGTGGAGGCCCAGGGAAGTGAGGTAACCACCAAAGTCCTCAACCTCTTGCCGTTTTGTCCCCTGAGCCCGACCCCTGGAGGTCAGCCAGCAGAGAGCTTCTTTTTCAAGGACGACTGAAGTAACACATGTCTGCCATGGTTGCATTTCCAGGTCTTGTGATGGCAGAACCGTTAAATCTTGACCTAAAGGCTTTTGACAGGGGTTGAAGAGGGAACGGGGTGTTGGTGAAGGGCCGGGGCCATGTTGGCCTCATCCCTCTGCTGCCCCGCCGTGGAAGCCTGGCTTCCTGGCCGCCTGTCCGAGCAAGCCACTCTCCAGTCCCCGTTGGCGGGCATGACTCCGTCTCATACGTGATCAAGAAACTCTTTATCCAAACCATCGCTTGAATTTGGACACAGAGAACAGAACAAAACAAACCTGGGTGCTCAGAGCCTGCATGGGCCCTCAGGTATGCCCTGGGAACGTTCCCTGTAGACCCCTGCCCTGCCCCTTCCTGCCCCCTTCCCCCGGAGGGCCCACAACTGTTTGCAATGAATGTGACATTTATTCTTCTTGGCTCTGTGCAAAGTCAGGTGAGATTATTGCAGATAGAATATAGAAATATTCATTCTCTCTTCCAAAAAAGGCTCTTAAATGTCAAATCAAATTAAATGAAATCATTGTATCAGGCAGAACACATATAAGTTGCAGATGGTGTAGTCTCTCTATAAATTTCCCCAACCTCACTGCTTCCCCTTAGATTTTATTGACCTGGGCCAGTTTAAATAAAGTTCAGATATACTTATTAGTTGAGCAAATGTCATTTGCTAGAGCCTGAGCAAAAGGCATCCGCTAACTTCTCCCCCCCCCCCCCCCAGTCCTCCCACCACCCGCCCCACTGTTGGTCTGGCTTCCTTGCTGGACTAATGTTAAGGTTCTCTGACAGCAACTTCACCTGACATAGTCTTACCTCTGCAGCCCACCTTTAAATCGCCCTGAAAGTGATCAAAGGGCAATTCCTGGGGCTCAGCATCCAGGCCTTGGCTCTTCTGGGGAGGCCTTTTGGAGCCCCCAGGCTGTGGGAAGGAGCCGGAGGAGGGAGCCTGCGTGGGAGGCACGGCCGCGTGATAAACATGCCCCGCTCCAAAAGGCAGGGGCCCTGTGCACAGATGTTGCGATGTTATGAGATAATTTTAGGGCCTCAATGGGGCGAAAAGGGTGGATTTGTCAGAGAGGGGCATATCTCGGGCGGTCTTTTCAGCGAGCAGCACCACGACTTCATTACCATGTCAATCCTGGGAGAAGGCCCTGATTGAACACAGCAGTTGGCTGAATGCATACGGAGCGGATGGACCCCTGAATGAATAGTGAATGGAAAACCGGCTGGAATCTGCCTTCAGCTTTGTTTTCGGGGATGACCAGTGTGAGGGACCCCAGAGCTCCCAGCGCAGATGGGAGGAGGAGGCAGCCATGTGACAGGCTTCTGTCTCTCCCTTTTCATCCTATCACTCACTCGCGGGGCTTTTCCTCCATATTCGTAGACATCTTGCAGTTGCCTCAACGAAATTTGCTTCCATCTCCCTCGCTCCCCTGAAGCCAACGCAGCTTTGGGGGGGGGGGGGGAGAAATAGACATGAAACACAATAGCAGATGCGGCAATCAACGTTTGCATTTCTCTTTCAGAACCGTGAAGTTTGAAGATCCTCGGCTTTGTGAGTTTTAGAAGTAATTTGAACGTGTAGCCCAGAAATCACGAAAAAGACAATTCCAAGTCTGAACAAGTTCGGAACTACTTCTGGAGTCCTCCTGCGTGAAGGGAATCTGGGTTCGTCCAGAGAGGGTTTGGGCTTTCAGAGCGCGGCCGCGTCCGAAGGGGCCAGTGCTGTAAATCAAAGGGCTCTGGCATTATCTAGTTTCCTTTCTGGCTTTAAAAGTTAGAACAGATGTCACAAGAGAGGACAAAATGGATTTTACCCACCAAGAGGGGCTTTTCTTACCGTCTGTAATAGGAAGTGCCTTGAAATGCTAATGTACACAGTTTGTGTCGATGGGGTTTGCATAGAGATGGTGGGAAACAGCTCTGAGCCCAACAAAACCTTTTGTTATTAATCAAGAAAATCTGGTCTTCTGAAGCAGCAAAGAGCTGGAAATTAGCGAGGCCAGCAATGAGCCCAGGGAGCAAAAATGCAGTGGAAGATCCCAGCGCTCCAGTAAGACTTGGTATCTGGGGCCATGCCGTATTTCCATGCCCCCCCACCGGCCCCCCACTTCTCCGCTCTCCCAGAGCCTCCGTCTTTAAAGGGGGAGGGGTATTTCCCTCGTATCTTGTACTTTAAAGTCGTGTGTTTTCTTTTTAAGCAATTTTGAGAAGCAGGCTGGAAGAACATCCATTAAAAGCGCGCTAATGAAGCGGGGCTGAGAAAAGCCAGCTAAACACCACAGAAGCAAAGCGGAGCATTTTGCTCAGCTAATGGGCTTGATTATGAGATTTTACAGGCCCTTTTATAAACTCGAATTTTATTTTGTGCCGGGGAACAGGAAATTTCTGTTTGGTTTTAAACATACATGATCATACCGCCAAATACTCCTAATTTAAAGCTGTGAGAGGGGGAGATTTCATGTCTAAGAGGGGAGGGGGCGGAAGAAGCCCTGCCAACCGTAGTCAGGGCACAACCTTCACGCCATGGCCGGAGAGAGTGGCCCGGGTGCTGCGAAGCCCTCGTGGTCACCTCCCTCTCCCCTGAGCCGCTGTGGCTCTCAGAATCTGGCATCCGCTCACACGTCTGGCGTCGTTCCCTTTGGGATGGGGCGTGTTCGCCTCACCTTGTCTCCTCAACTAGAACAGGGAATCCTTTGTGGTCGGGGGCTAGCCTCTGCCTTTTAGGATATTTAGCAGTGTCCCTGGCCTCTACTCAAATGCCGGTAGCACCCTTCCCCCATTGTGACCACCAAAAACGTCTCCAGACATTACCCAACTCACCCCTGGTTGAGAACCACTGAACTAGATAGATCACCTGCCTTAGGGTGATAGGAGCTGCACTGGAAACGTACCTCGTGACGGCCCAGGGTCCAGGCTGGTGCTGGGTGTGGGGCCTCCATGCTGGTGCAGTGATTGATTGTACTGGGAGTTTGGTAAAGGAACGGACAAGTCCGTTCCAAACAGCAGACTGGTGCCTTCTTTCAGGGTCTTTCCCTGGGACACCAATGGTTTTGCATTTTCCCTCATCTTCCAGCTAGCGGGCTGGGGGCAGGGAAAGCAGGAGAAAGAAGCAGGAAGCCAGAACAATCCACAGCCTGGAGAATCAGCTCAGCGTTGGATGCTGATGGTGTGACGCCATATTGTAAGGCTTGTATACGTTTAGCCCATGGGCAGATGGTAATTACCTCTGGTAATATATATTTTTTAAAAGTTTACTTATGTATTTTGAGAGAGAGAGAGAGAGAGAGAGACAGCGAGAGGGAACATGAGTGGGGGAGGGGCAGAGAGAGGGAGACGCAGAATCCCAAGCAGGTTGTTCACAGCCAGCTCGGAGCCTGACGCGGGGCTCCGTCCCACTAACTGTGAGATCATGACCTGAGCCGAGAAGAAAAGACTCAGATGCTTAACCGACTGAGCCACCCAGGTGCCCCTAACCTCTGGTAAGAATTTTGAGTGAGGTCTTGCTGCTCTTTAAATTATGCTCCATTATCCTTGCAGGGACACCTTGCTTTTTGGAATACGACTTGTTGAAAAGTTGCCCGAATATAGGATGATAAGCATTCACTTACGAAATCAGTGTTAAGCACACATTGTATACACTTTTCTACTAAAAACAAACCTGGAGAAAGTCTGTTATAAAGAACTGAATCGTATCTCGGGCCTTCCTCCTCCTCCCCATCCTGGATCTGCTTACAGTAGGTGTGGCTCTAGAGAAAACACTGGCAGTTCCCAGAGGCCTCCTGCCGGTACCTGGAGGTGCTGTGATCCCATTTCCCATGGCTTACTCGCTTGGACAAGAGCTCAGTGAGAGAACTAAGATCATAGGATACAGGGGGACCCCAGGGCATTCACAGACAGTGGCCAATCTGGGCTGCACTTAAGAATTCTTAGCTGCGCTGGTTGTATCGATTACATCGGTAGTCTGTGTCACAGACGGGCCACGGGAGGTGTGCTTCCTCAGCCGTGTGCAGACACGGGGCTCCGTGACTCGGGGGCTCCCAGGACCCAGGCGGCCTCGGCTGCACAATTTATCGACAGATAAATTTATCTGGCAGCATTGACCTAAGAACCATTGGAGAAGCGTGGGGCTTTCGGAATGTGCCGGGTGGGAAGGGGAAGCCACTGTGAAAATCAGGACAGCTGAGGAGAGAGGGCCGAGGGGCAACGGGCTTCAAAGTAGCTTCTTCTAAACCGTCCCTGTGACGTCATCATGCGCCCTGGCACCGCTTGAAAGTCTATCAGGTATGCGTTCATTTGGGTTCACAGATAATTTCTTTTAATGAATGCACATGCCCACACGGGTGACCCTTTGAGCCGGTCTAGGGCCTCGATGCCCGCCTCTGACAGAGGCAGAAATCTCCACAGAAGCACGGGACGTGGCACCTACTGGCCTGCGGCCGGGTGGGTCAGGGCCATTGACTCGGCACCTGTCGCTTCTCTTCCGTACCGACTAGACTGAGCGCGGGCCAGGCCACAGGGAGCAGAGGTTAGCACAAGGGACAGTGGAGACCAGTGGATGGAGGGGCACAGGGACGGAGGGGTGAGGCCGGTGCCCCCGGCACCGCTCCCTATGCTCACCTGGTCTGGAGTGGAGGGGGGACTCTCTGTCTGACCTCTCTTCCCCCCGGAGCCGCCCACCCCCTCTCTGGGACTCAACACCCAAGATGACATCATTAGAGAGAGAGGGCAGCAAGTCCAAGGATGCAATCAAGTTCTGTGGGTGAGCGGGGCCGCAGGACAGCTAATAGTGACTTCTGAGGGACAAAGGCCTTTTGCATGTGAGTCATTCAGCTTCCCAGTGATGTTTTTTGGAACACAGCTTGTCAGTGGGTTGGGGCCAGAGGGAGAAATGGTGCCAGGGGCCCCTTTCCCAGCCTCGTTCCCACTGGCTTTTCAGATTGTCAGCCGGTGCACAACCTTCTCGATCACCTATCCCCGCCAGCGCACCCAGACCTGGTCCTGCTCACGAGCAACTCACCTCCTCTCAGGCCTAGGTGTTCGGGAAGCAGGACATCCTCCTCGACTGAGATTTCACTCACGAGGGTGAGAGTACAGAGCAGAAAAAAGGCTCCATTATAAACACCTTAACAAGAGCCAACAAAGGAAACGCTGACTCTGTGGCCGCCCCATCCCGGCTCCAGCGGGCCTGCGGGGGAGGGCAGGGTTTTGTGTGGAGTTCAAAGCCCCGAGTGAAAGCTAATGAGGACCATTGTATTTGGGCAAAGGACAGTGCGGGGAGCGCTTATCAGAAAGGAGGGTTAGATTACCCGCCTCCAGTTTCTGGAGGTTTTTGAAAGGCTGCCTTCGGGGCCCCTGAGGCTCCAGCGGAGTCTGTTTCCTAGGCACGTTTTCTAGGGGACCCCTTCAGGGAGTGGCTCCTGGGGTCACAGGGATGCCTGCTCTGTACCCACAGCAAAGGCACTAACAGAGATGGGGGTCGGGAGGAAGAGGGTTTGGGGAAAGTTGCCCCACGATTGCTTGAGTCCTGGAAAGTCAGTGTTCCTGAGGAGCCCTCACGGTTTGGGGGGGCAGAGAAGTTGTTAGCGGGTGGGGATGGGCTTCAGCAAAGCTAAACCCGTGGAGAAACCCAGAGCTGAGGATGCCTGTTCTGAGAGACCTCGGGGCTCTAGCCTGTCAGTTCTTTGATTCTAAATTCAGGAATCTGGGACCCAAAATCAGCTGCTCTGATGTAACACTGGTCAGTGAGTAGCAGAAGGCCATCAGTCTCTAGAACCTGCCTTGGCCTCTAGAAAGTGCCCATTACTTCTAGGAATCCGGGGCCAGGAGGGACGCCCCCCTCAGAGGGAGCGCTTGGACACGGAGGAAAGGCCCTTCCTTGTGCGTTTTGGGGACTCCTGTGTCAGCGCCCTGGTCACTGACCGGGGCTCCGCTGGCAGGACCCTGCCAGGCAGAGGGCTTCGGTCATGTTCCCAAGCGTGAAAGCAGGCTGAGCTGGCCCTGGGGCCCTTGGTATAGTCTTGCTCATCCCGGGCAGGTGCCCCTGTAGGGAAGTCGACTCCAGAAGTGCTCCAGAGTCACTCGTGTTCGGAAACCTGCTTTTCTGTGTGTCTGTTCACTTTCCCATCGACAGAATGAGAGAAACAACGGTCTTTTTTGTCCCAAACGGGAACAAATTCCCTCACCCGCAAAACAGAACCCAGCCACGCCCACCGGGAGGAAATTACATACTGGTAATCAAGTGGACTAGGAAGGAGCACGAAAAATTATAGCATGAATGATGTTGAGTGTATGATAATGAAAGAAAGTGGTGAATAATTGTGCAGCAGCATTTCTGGGAAATATGGCTAGCACTCCAGGACCGCTTCCCATTGGCCAGACATTAACTTCTAATTAAGATGTTAGCTCCTCTCTCCTCCCTGTGTTCGTTCATATCGATTCTTCCAAAAGTCTCCAATTTCATGCAACGTTGACAGAAGTAACGCGGGCCACGGAGATGCAGAGAGCATTCTAGGCACGCGAAGGAGGAAAATGCAGGGAAGGAAGAAAAGACGTGAACAGCGTTATCTCTTCCATGATTGAAAAACAGAGATTCTGGGCAGAGGAATGCAGGGGGACGGGGGACAGTTGGAGGCCCAGAGAGACGCTGGAGGGAGAGGTGGGAGGGTCCTCGGGGGGCGCAGGGTGTTGTCTGAGTCCCTGAGTACAGAATTCTCAGCCACCTGAGTCTTCGAATTCTCAAAACCTCCCATGGCATTTCCAGAACAAATCAGTTTGAATTCACTTGAGTCAGAAACATGTCTGCTGCCGTGGCCTGACTAGGAATCCGGAGCTGGGGTTACTACTGCAGAGCTCCCCGGAATCTCAACAGCCTCCGAGCAGGGGGATGTCTGGGGAGGAGGGGCTGGCGGGGGGTCATTTTCTGTATTAGCTGTGTGCCCGCTCGGTGCATTGCTCTCCGTCTTCTGAGAGCCGGGTCCCGGAGCTCCAGCCTCTAAGTGCAGAGAGTTGGACCCAGGTGGCTTTATGGAGCCTCAGAGGGCCCTGAAAACACTCAGCAAATAGCATCTTGGTGAATTCAGCAAGGCCTTCAGGTACTGAAGAGAAGACCTCTGGCCTTGACATTGGGCTTTGCGTGGGAGTCTCTACTAGGCAGGGAAAGGATTGCATAACTGTAGCAGCTGACGGGTGCCAGTCCACAGGGTCCGCCAGGTGCAATCTGTGTCCCCAGCGCCATCCACTCCATCCTCTGAGCGCCGGGAGGTGGGTGCTCGTGTTTCACGGGTGAGAAAGCGAGGCTCAGATTGCGGGCCCGACTTGCCTGTGGCTGTGCAGCTGATGAATAGGGAGTTGGGATTCGGCTGGACCGTCAGACCCCAGACCTGAGCCCCCAAGAAACGGCTCTGCTGCCCTGGGCTGTATGGAAGGAAGGGGGTTCAGGTGCCTATTGAGTAACTGTGCTTTGCCTAACTGATGGTTCTTGATTAAAAAAAATTTTTTTTTAATGTTTATTTATCTTTGAGAGAGAGAGACAGAGAGACAAAGAGACAGAGTACGAGCAGGGGAGGGGCAGAGAGAGAGGGGAACACAGAATCTGAAGCAGGGTGCCGGCCCTGAGCTGTCAGCACAGAGCCCGATGAAGGGCTTGAACTCACAATCCACAAGATCATGACCTGAGCCGAAGTCAGACGCTTAATTGACTGAGCCACCCAGACACTCCTAGTTTTTGATTGATTAAGAACAACTCATCTTTCAAACAAATTGTTTGCCAAAGTGGCAAAGTTTGCCAATGATCCCTTAATTTTCTTTCTTTCTTTCTTTCTTTCTTTCTTTCTTTCTTTCTTTCTTTCTTTCTT